TATATATATATATATATATGTGTGTGTGTGTGTGTGTGTGTGTGTGTGTGTGTGTGTGTGTGTGTGTGTGTGTGTGTGTGTGTGTGCGTGTGCGTGTGTGTGCGTGCGCGCGGACGCGGGTGTGCGTGCGCGCGTGTGTGTGTATACCTCAGCGGCTGTCTTGTCCTTTTCTTCAAGGTTGAGATTGGCCTTGCCAAATGCCTCTTGGGCAATGTCCAAGTCGTTCTCAACGGTCACCAACTTCTTCTGCAGGCTCTTCAGCTCTTCCTCAGCCTGGAGAGAAAAAGTAGTGCGAGGTTATACATCGGCGGCCATGATAATTAAAGCGAGTATGTCGCCGTACCAGTAACGAGTGGTAGCAGAGATATTAGTTTTGTTATTATTATACTGTGTGTTGTCTGTTTGCTGCGGTGATAAAACCTATTAAAATCCCTCGGGATTTAGTGGCAGATCCAGAAGTGAATTCTAAGGGAGGGGCGAATCATGCGAGCTCAAGGGCACGAAGCGCCCGAGGGGGAGGGTGTTAGGCTAAAATACGCTTGCCCTGAAAATTCTAGGGGGGCGACCGCCCCTGTGCCCCCCTGGATCCGCCATTGGGATTCATAATTCGAATCTCACTTTTATCACAACAGAAAACCACCCCAACGGACATGCATTCACTCGCGACGGGAAACATCGGTCGTTTCCGACCCACTATAGTCATCAATTTATCATTGACTGACGAACATGCGTATACGGTCTCTGTTTGCGATATTTACTGTCATGTAATTATCTCCGATAACGCACGCTCGACTTTTTGATTCTTTTATAGCGAAATTAAAAAACAGTATATATTTATAATAATGGCCGCACTGCGCATGCGCTTGCCGTTGGTCGGCGACATAAGCGGCTGCCTTGCGAATATCTGCGTGTGCGTGCGCGTGTGCGTGTGGGGGTGTGTGTATGGGGGGGGGTATGTATGTGTACGACACATAACGTAGGGAGGCTGAAGAAATGTGGCGGTGCGCGGGGCACGTCTATTTTCGGCTGCGTTGCCGTGGTAGAGGGATGTTCGGCGGTGTACGCGCGGCAGGCAGGCGGCAGGCAGGCGCGTGGCGCATTTATATATAAACGGGCCGAGAGCATCGATTACAAGCATGTAAGAAAACAGCTCCTGATACAGCGGAGAGTAAGAAATACATGTACACTCTGCACAACAGTAACCCGGCTGTGAGGGTTTAATCCTATGTTACGTACGTGCTAATAAATGAATCAAACGTAATTATTGATTCAAAAAAGTTTACATATGGTTTTTGGGTTAGATTGTTTTAATTGTTAGAAATTTAATTAAAAAAAAGATTGTGTATTATTCCATGCGGCTATCTAGTCGTAGATGTTACATTATTATAATAAAATGTCTATATAACATGCATTTTCATGTACGTTTAGGATATGCGGCATGTAAATAACGTGTAAATTATATATCTGCTATATGCTACTGAGACTTGTTATCGATAAAAGCATACAAATATAGCGAATAGGATTTCAATTGTTGCAGATGATTATACCTAAATGTCTAAACAAATCATAAACTTGATGTTTGATACGTGTGTGTGTCTTCCCTCACCCCCGGCCCACGCTCCGCTATACACTATATCCACTCCTATAGACACGTGTACGGGACTGGCGCACCGCGCTATATTTAGCAAAACTACGTATTCAGTTTCAGCAACAGATATTTGGAGGAAAGATGGCCGCCGGATTGGCTGCATCTTGAAGGGGAAACGCTCACAAGTAATTATCAATTATCCCGATTATCAATAGCCAGTTTAAGACTTTAGCAATCTTTCAGATGACATCCGATCGTTCCACCTTCGCGGCAACAACGTGCCGCTCGGGTATGCAGCCGTAAGTTTTGACTT